AATATGCTCAATTGCAAGCTGTTGTTCCAATGGAGGTAGAAAATGACTCCAATAAGGTCCCAAACGATGCTGCTTCTATTTCTTCTGAGACTTCTTCATATTCTCAATCACGTGTAGAAGATGAAAGTGATGCTGAGGAAGTTCGTAGTGTCAGTGTTATTGTAGAAGTCAAGAGTGTTTGTGAAATTGAAAGTGCTAAGGACAGAAGATACCCTAAACGAGATTCATGTAAGCCAAAAAAGTACAATGATTATGTATTAAATGATTTTTTTGACAATGAATCAGATCCTGCTATGCTTGCTGTATCTCATGATCTGGAACTAATTACTGGTTCTGCAGCATTATCAAGTTCCCGGAAAGAGGAATGGAAATCAGCCATTGAATATGAGCTAAATGCGCTCAGAAAAAATAATACTTGGGAATTAGTCGACAAACCCAGTAATAAAAATAATGTATTTGAAATATTTGTGTTCTGATAGTGCTATAAGATTATCAGAAAACCAAGTATTTCATAAACGTACTAAACATATACTTACATGTCAAATACCATTTCATACCAGAAAAAATCAAAAACAATGAAATTCAGTTAAAATACATGCCAACGGCTGATATGGTAGCAGACATGTTAACTAAATCTTTGGGTAGTACAAAACATAGGTTTATCTGTGAGAAGTTAAACATGAAGTAGATATAGTAATTAGGTACCCTCATATTTGTGATTTTGTTTATTTTGATTTGTACATGAATTTTTATTTTTGGGTTTATTATTTTTACCTTCAATATTGAGGGAGAATGTTGTGATTACAATATTGAGGTAACCTCTTTTATATCATATCCTTGAAATAGTAGTTGAGGCTGGATGTATCAATTAAAAAAGAAGTGTCTTGACTGTTAATAAATACTAGCTGTCAACCGCATTTTACGACCGAAAATACTCTGAAAAACATGGGTAGTAAGTATTGGCTTCCACGAATGCGAAAATATGTGTACCGCTATATTTCTGCTTGTCTACAATGTGCATACAACAAAGCACCTACAGGTAAACAAGAGGGATTTCTTCATAAAATAGCAAAGGTACCAATCCCAATGCATACTCTTCACATTGATCATGTTGGACCGTTTGTGAAGAGCACGAGGAAAAATGCATACTTGATAGTAGCAGTAGATGCTTTCACGAAGTTTCTTCATGCCAACCCAGTTCCAAGTACCAAAACGAAACCAGTAATAAACTTTTTAGAGAGACAATTTTTCTGACTTTCGGTAGGAACTCCTAGACACATTATTTGTGACAGAGGATCTTGTTTTATAAGTAACTCCTTTATCAGCTTTAACAAGGAGCTAGGAATCCAACTGGTATTCAATGCAACAGCCCCTCCACGTACCAACGGGCAAGTGGAAAAATATAACAGCACTTTGTTGAAGGCTATTTCAACATCTTACGACGATGAAAGAAAGTGGGACGAGCCAATAAAGTCTATTGTTTTTGGAATTAATTCTGCAGTAAACAGTGCCACTGGGAAGAGTCTCTGTGAACTGCTTTTTGGATACAGACCAAGAGCATTGGGTGATTAATTTCTGAGTACATCTGTCACAGAGGAGGCTGTTGAAAATGACATCACACAATCTAGGCAGGAAGCTGCTTCAAAAATTCAAATTGCTCAAGACAAGCAAAAAACATACTTTGATGCTAAAAGAAAGAGATGTCATGAGTATGTGATAGGGGACCAAATTGTTCTGAAGAGGACAAGCTCTGCAAATGAGGGTAAAAGCAAAAAGTTGCTGCCTAAGTTCAGTGGTCCTTACCAAATTAGAGGACCTGCCAGGGTCAAATCGTGTACATAAGAGATATGAAGGTGTCAGTTCAGCTGACCATATGAAGCCGTTTAATGCCGCATTTCAGAGCAGTAGTGAGACGGATTCAGACTATGAAATCTCAGAGGAGAAATCGCTAGAGGAGAAATTCTTAGAGGAGAATGTCTCAGAGAAAGGTTCTTTGACTACTTGAGGAAGTTTTTAGAGTAGATTTAACTAATTTGTTGCTATTCAGGGATAGAAGGCTGACGAACTGGTCAGAGCAAGCGCAGTTTCACCCTACACAAGACCAGAACCCGCATTTGGGATATCGTAGCGATAAGTTTTAAGGTGGTCGATCCATCAAAATCTCCTTTCCAAGCTCAGAAACTTACTTTTTCCATAAAAATTTCTGGTATATTTATTATCAATAAATTACCAATGGACACTCAGTATAATTTCCGTAATACCAAACAAAAATAGAATTGACAATGAACAATGATCCCACGATGCGATAATTTTCCATTTTCGGACTACCGCCGCATTTGGCAAGTGCTCGGAGCATGTTAAGCCGCGTCCAGTTATTTGTCAAGAAGATGCCCGATAATTTTAAGGTTTTACTGCCATTTCTAGACGAATAATTTATGGGTTGGTTTATTATGGGAAACTATACTGTGCGCGGCTAAAGACGGCTCAATAATTATTGAATCTCATGGGCCAATAACTGTATGTATGTATATACAGTGTGTTACTTAGAATATAGACAATAGGTCAATTTATTATCAAAAAATTAATTGCTGGCGGAAGTACCTACTTCAACAAACAATGAGCTATTTAAAATGTAGTTTGTTGCATTTCTTCTTAAATTAGTGTTATAATTAAAGCATTAATTTGTCATGACTTAAGTACCTATTTGAAGTGTTAATCATGGGAAATTTAGCGCTTGATGATGTGCTTTTTAAAAAAAATACTTTTCAGTTAGCCAAATAAATAGCTGAGCTATCTCATGACTACAACTGGTACCGAACCATTAATAACATAATCACAGTAATGCATATCCACACGACTTGGCCTAGGACGGCATCAGAGATAATGGTCTTACAACCGCTTTAACAGCCTCTTGAAGAGTATCATTATAATAATGACATGAATTCAGCCTATTTGACTAATTGACTTCTTATTGTCGTCGCTATTCTGGGCGATTTGACTGCATCATTTTCCTGTTACGGGTTTGTTATTTATTATTCTATGGGTAAACATGGTGCTTGGCTAAATTGAAACTTGTTAGGTAAAGTATAGAGGGCTTTGGTTTTCAAATAATTGATGATTAGGGTATTCAATTTTCTGTTGATAGGTGTTGAGATTGTGCTTTCACATATTCTTAAGTCGACACTACAGTATTCATATATGAACTAATTGGCTGGTGAGCTTGCTATGACGAAGCTAAATGAAGAAAGCGAACAAATATTGAAGAGAAAAATAGGAAAGCACTATCAAGAGAAGCGTCAGACGCATCAACCATAAAAATAGCAGAAGAAGCTGAGAACGCTGAAAGCAATTTAAATAGATTGCAGAAATTTGCTTTTAATTATTGCATGAGTGTTGGAACTAAATCATAGAAAAACGAATCTTATCGAAACAGTTAATTACCAAGACCAGACTTGGGCTATCTGTGAATAACACTTATGTGACAGATACAAAGTTAACCAGAAAGGCTTTGAATACAAGCAATAAGAAGAAAACGTATTACTAAAAGCTTTGTGACAGATACATAAATCTTGTGATAGGTAAACCTTGCCTACTAGCATGACCTCTGAAACATTAGCTACTAGATTTGTATAATATGGTGACAACATGTAAAAGGCAACTGCAAAATATTCAAAATTCAAGACCAACGAAGGCAAACAGAGAAAAGTTCATGATGGATATGAAAGGACCTGTAAATACTTATACACTAAATGACTTAAGTAGTGGAAAAAATATGTTTCCATAAGCCATGAGGCAACAAAACACAATTCATTAGAGGTTTACATACCTACCTATACAATAATTAAAATAAAAGCCTTTGAAACTAGGAATAATTAAATTAGGAACTGATGAATATGCATTATTGCTACCTATATTCTAAGTAACACACTGTATATACATACATACAGTTATTGGCCCATGAGATTCAATAATTATTGAGCCGTCTTTAGCCGCGCACAGTATAGTTTCCCATAATAAACCAACCCATAAATTATTCGTCTAGAAATGGCAGTAAAACCTTAAAATTATATAGATTGCACCTTCAATGACAATGATAAGTTAGTCCTTGCTCAGGAAATGGCCACCTGAAGTTGTAGGATGTTGCTAAGTCCTTGGGTATCGGGAGGATTTGGTTTCGTGTCCAGGATTTGAGGGTTCTTAAATAGGAATCAATGTATATAGGGTCAAAATGATGTTTTGCCAATTCTGTTTGTTCTAGCCTGTATTGTCTATCATTTCTATAGTCTGGTAGTACAACTATGTAAAACAATCATTCTAACTCATCTAGAACCTCTTAATGAATTCAAATAAATTCTGAATGAAGATAACACTAATCTTCAGTGATTTATACCATATGAATTTGTTATAACGTCTGATAACTAGATCGAAATTCCTGTTGAAAAATCCTCCAAATGTATGCCTGTTTCAAAAGGTAAGAACCCCCTTATGAGAGGTATATAAGCATTTGGTGGTATAAGAACTGTAGAAAGTTATCTTGGTATTGGTAGAGCATTGTCGTAACCTTTTTGAAAAACTTTCAATATTAAGGAAACTGAATCTTTAGATTTCAAAACAAAAGCATCTTGAGAAGAGCTAGAAAGTAGAATATACCAATCATGGGAAAAAATCGGAAGCAGTTGCAGATATCCAAATTATCTTGAAGATGGAAATCAAATATACAGACCGACACAAATCAAAAACACAACATAATATTCATGATTACCTACATTATAGAGATTAGCAGGATTTTCCAAATAAATAAGATAAAAACTTATGCAATAACACTGAGGTTTTCCTATGTATACTAACAAAGTTATTATTTTTAAGTTGTCGAATCAACACTAATCAGCAAGATTGTTAACTTTTAGATTTCTAGAAGATCCAATTATGCAGATTACATGTATGTATGTAAGATCAGATTCATGGTGAAATAAATCTAAAAATTCTCGAAAGGTACTTACGCTTTGGCAGTTCCAAAAACTGAATTGTCATAAGCCCAAAAACTCCGATATATGTCGCATATCAACCGAGTGACGGGTAAAGTTTATACAAGTAAGTATATATCGCTATAATATAGGAAGGCCGACGTCACCAAGAGGTTACCGGCATCGAAATCTCATCACACGCGGTACATAACGGCAAAACTCGCGAAGTAAAAAGAAGCGCACGTTTACCAAAATATATAATGGATAAATTATTGAAGATTGGGCCTTCTCATGTGTATAAATATTTTTGGTATGCACGGAAATCGAAAACAAAATCAACGATACCCAGGACTGGAGGAGAGCGCATTGACCACCGGTTGCGGACGTAACTGCTGCTAGACTGAAGACATAGCGGTAGATGGACTATTTTGCAGCAGGATGGGTTTTTGGTTCACTTGTGCGCGACTGTGGAGTCGATCTTCTTTGGCAGAAGCCAACAACTGAAGATGTGTGGCACAATGTTGCCATGTGATATCAAAGAATATTGGACGATCGCAAAATATCAAAGAAATTTATTATATAGTATTATAGTATAGTATATTATACATATACACAAGAATTATGAGTTACATAAAATGTTCTTATGAGTTGAAGTTGCGGTATTGAGTTAAGATGCTCATACAACCACTCGACAACCTATAGATATCTCCACTTTTGATATCACCCTTTGAGTAATCTTCCGAATGATGCTATAGTGTGGTGGAGTTCTCCAAAATTGGTGGTATGGCGTTATAATTTGGGTAACCCTTCAAAAAACAATGTACTGGATTGAAGTATTGAATTGAAGAAAGTGAATAGACTGTACAAGACAGTAGATATAGATTTTCTCTACAATTTTGGTGTCTGAGATAACGGTAGAACCTATACCTAAGTATCGTTTTTACTCTACCCCAAGCGGGATTTGCACCTATTCTCAAATTAAGGAGCTGTGTTTTTAATTGCCTTTACTTTGCGTTTTCTTCCGTTTTGGACGATGATATCGGTTTTTTGCACCCTTGCCGATAAGTTGATCGCTTCTTAAATTTATCATGTAGGTCCTTGTTAGATGTTAATTTTTAGCATAGAGCTGTCCGCTGTCCTGAACCTTTACTAGTGATTTGGAGGAAAAGAACACCTTGTTCAGTAGGTCTAGAGGATTTAATGTTACATTTTCTTACATTTTATTTAAGGAGAGCAAGAATACATTTTTGTATTTTCTTGATCTCAGAGTCGAAACCAACCTACTATACGTCCAACTTAATGAGAGATGAGAGAAAACGAAATGAGATGACCGAAGAGCTCTCTCGTCTCGTATCGAGGGTCTTGCGTCGAGACGAGAGACTTATTTTCTCTCGAATCTCTGAGACAAGACGAGAGAGAGCGTAATCTGGTCTCGTCTCGTCTCGCGGCCTCACTAAAAATCACATATCAGCAACGCAGAGAAGTCAAACTAGCAAGAAAAATTCACCTCTTCGCGTTTAAATGCTCGTGGGACAATTCAGAAATCACACGTTTCCGACAAATTTGGATTTTAGGAAAGTGAGGATGTGAAAAGATAAGAAAACTCATTCTAGGGAAACTTTTCACTTATGTCAACTGGAACTACATTATGGAATTCTCTTTCGCTAAGCCAATATCACAAGAGTCGAAAGAGTGTATTAGCTGATTATCATCAGCGTACTGATAGGATTCACGATATTTTAAAAAATTGGAATGATCAGCAGTAAGCCAGTATAAATGAAATGCATAACATGCCTGCCCATCAGACGGTCATATAGAGGGGGAACTTTTCTTTGAAAATTGTTAACAAGAGGATGAATAACTAGTTATTTAGCAAAACCGCTCATGTTATTCCACTCAAATGTCTGTTTACTAACTATGGATTAAACTATAGTACCTACATACCAAAAAATCATCACCAATCTTGAAATATTTCAGTTTACTATTTCAAATAGTGTCATCCAATGTAGCAAGATCAAACACAGGAATAATATTCTAATTTGATCCAAATTAAAAAAAAAAAACATAGTTCAGTGCATATCAGCAGTGAAACTTCTCATAATTTCCAGATGCTTTCACCAGCAAATAACATGATGCTACTGGTCATCATAGGTATCTCCAATCAATGAACTTTAGAACAATACAAGTGGCATAAAAAATGGCACACATACAAATTATATCTGATCTGAAATGAAGCATCAATTTATTATTATATTTATTAAACAAATATGATTTCCATAATAAAGGCACACCCCGAGGCGAGTTCCCATGGTACGTAACTATTAATTCAACATAGTAGTCTATAATAGCTATATTATTTTGTTACGTCGGTCGACTGTCTGTGGATATTGATATTAATAAGCACATAATGCTCTTTCAGATAATATTAGATTTTAGATTGTCGCTTAAGTAGCTACGTAGATAGTTCTTCCTTTTATGAATTTAATTTTTAATTAAATAAGCATTGAATAAGCTCATAAATTTATTGATATTACTTATAGCTGTATTATATAGAGAGAGCGGAAGTTCCTAGGCTTCTCAAACATGCTCGTTTCAGTTACGTCTTGGTGCTATTTATTACAAAAACTTCAGAAAAACGTTGTATTTATTATGATAATAAATGCTTGATGAATATAATGCATTTGGATTATGAAACATGTCGAAAAATGTGAACCTATATAAAATAAGGTTTTAGAAACATTTCATGGTGGTTTTTGGTTTAAAAGAGGCATACAATGATGTGTAAAGTTCAGGAACTTATTATGTTGTTGCAATAATATACACACAATGGACAACATTTACACTAAGTTCGACATCAGTTTTCTCTTGAAACCCCCTCTGGATTTCGATGTATTTTTCACAGCTTGATTCTTCACGAATACATCTGACGTATTACCGCCATTAAATAATTCGTCTTTAAATCATATACAGGGATGGAAAGAAAGTCAGTAATTTTTAGTGTTTTTTGCACACCCTGTGGAGTTAACCATTGAAAATGGAGAACTGTTTTCTGATCTTTTCCGAACATTTCCATTTTTCAATCACTCTGATATTTACATTATTAATGAAAATACAGTGTTTCGAAAAAGAAGTTGGATATTGACCGTAATTTACAGTGTGTTCAATTTCAATGGCATGCAGACGTTTCAGTTAAAATTGATGGAAAATTTTCTTGCCTCGACTAGGATTTGAACAGGGACCTCGCAATTCCAGTGCAACGCTCTACCAACTGAGCTCAGCTGTAGCTCAGTTGGTAGAGCGTTGCACTTAATATGCGAGGGTCCTGGGGAGAGAGGGAGGGATAATGGCTTCCAAACAACCATTAATTGTGAATGTGTTCCCCTTATACCTCCCATACCAAGGGTAACCGCGGAAGGTTGCCGTTGGTCTTAACAACTAACAACTTAAAATTGATAAAAGACTTGATCGACAAGGTAGAAATGAAACAGGTCTTGGTAGCTCAGTTCGTAGAGCGTTGCACTAGATATGCGAGGGTCCTGGGTTAAAATCCTAGTCGAGGCAAGAAAATTTTTCATAGATTCTAATTGAAACGTCTGCATGCCATTACAATTGAACATGCTGTAAATTATGTGACAGACGATAAAACTTCTAAAAAAATTTAAAAATTATTGATATTGATAGTTGGGCGTTCCATCCCGATACCTGCTGATGTCGCTATATGTCGACGACGCATCCGTGGTTGAACGGGTGATAGCTTGTTTCCTGAAGAGCGTTCATTCCGGACTCCCACCCAATTCCCCTGAACAGGAAGAAATCGAGCGTACAGCGACAGCCTTTGCTATTAGGAAATACCCCATCCCCCAGTACTTGCTCGCTGAACTTCTTGTCACGCCCGGCGAGATGACTCGAATTATCCGCCGGCTCCCAAGCGAAAAGGCCCCCGGACCAGATGACATCCCATATCGAGCCCCCAAAAATCTCCCGCCTAAAGTTACTGTCCAACTGGTACAAATAACTAACGCCATCCTTAAACTACAGCATTTTTCTTATCAGTGGAAGAAGGCTGTAGTGGTTATGATCCTCAAACCTGGAAAAAACCTTACTCTACCATCCTCTTACCACCCAGTCTCCCTTCTAAACTCCTTTGCCAAGCTCGTGGAGAAGTTAATCCTAACTAGGGTCAACAGGATCGTCGAGAACTTCTCTATACTCCCAAACGAGCAGTTCGGATTCCGCCCCCGTCACAACACCACTCTTCTTGCAGCCAAAATCTGCTGCGACGTCTTCCAAGCGTTCAACAGGCGCATGAACACGACTCTTCTGCTCCTAGATATGGAGCGCGCCTTCGATAGGGTCTGGCACTCAGGCCTTGTCTACAAACTTCTCACAACTTTCAATTTCCCATTACAAATCATCTCCCTGATAAAGTCATTTATCAGCGGCCGCGCTTTCTGCGTCAAACAAGATGACGCCCTCTCGAACTCTAAACCAATTCAGGCTGGAGTGCCCCAGGGGCGGCACTCAGTCCGCTGCTGTACTCTCTCTACACAGCGGACATTCCAACATTCCAAAATACAAATCTGGCGCTATACGCAGATGACACTGCTGTTTACGCTCAATCCTTCTACATACAAGCAACAAAATTTCAGCTCGCCCACCACCTTTCGATCCTTCAACCCTATTGCGATAAGTAGAAGCTTGGTGTTCATGGTCAAAAAACGGAAATGATATGTTTCTCCAAGAAACATACCAATAGCACCATGCCTACCCCACTTATCGTGAACAACATCCCAGTGACTCTATCCCCGAAAGCAAGACACCTCGGCATCATCTTCGATCAGAGAATGAAATTGCACCATCATGTATCCCACGCTTTGGCTCGCACCTTCATTACGCAGCAAAAACTCTACCCCCTCATCGGTCCTGATTCATCCTTATTCCCCGGTAACAAATTAAGAATTTTCAAACAGGTCATAAGGCCAATGCTCACCTATGGGGCCCCTGTCTGGAACATCATTTCTAAAACTCAGAGGAATCGCCTTCAGCGGTTCCAAAACCGCATTCTCAGAGGAGTTCTGTCCGACTCCAGGTACACCAGAATAAGGGACATGCATGCGCAAGCATGCATTCCCTATATCTCTGAGTACCTGAACGAGGTCAGCGAGAAATTTTACAGGTACCAAATCGACGCTTCCCACTCACACGCAGCCTCACTGCGACTAGATTTGATCCAGACAACCCCATAGTGCGAGGGGCGGACTGGCACTAGAAATCAGGCCGGGCGATGATGAGACTTGCCAGAGGCCACCTACTTTTGCTTTGCTGATATATTCATATTCTTTATAATATTTTCTCGATTTTGTATCATCCACTATTTGCTATT